ACAGCCGGCCCTCCCCCCGGCTCCTCCTCCTCCCGCCCCCGTTCCCTGGACTCGGCAGTAGCTGCTCAGTTGCGGCGGCAGCAGCTGGCTGCAGCTGCCAAGCTGCGGGGAGCCCCGGGGGGTGCCGGTGTGGTGATGTCCCGCCCGGGGGCTGCGGGGGGGCGGTTCGTGATCGCGCACGCCGACGACCCCGGGCAGCGGCGGACCTTCCTGGCGAGACCCGCTGCGGGCGGCACTGCGGCCACGACAGTGAAGCAACAGATCGTGGAGGTATGTGTGTATGTGTGCACGTATGTACGTATGTTAGGGTGTATGTGTGTATGTATGTATGTATGTATGTATGTATGTATGTGTGTTAGGCTGGATGTGTGTATATATGTATGTATGTTTGAATGGGTAAATGAATACATGGATAGGTGGATGGATGTGCACTTGGCCCAACCCACACCTCTCACACGTACACACACACGTTCTCTTGCTCTCAGGCACCACCCAAACTGGACGGTGGAAGCCGCTCCGGGGCCTCCGGCTCCTCATCTGGTTCGTCCTGGGCCGTACGGGATGCCGTACTGCTGTGGAAGCTTCGTTGCTTCGCGGATGATCTGTTGGAGAGCGGGTACAACCAGGTTGGAAGGGAGGGGGGTACCTTGGGTGCGTGTGTATCTATGTGTATGTATGTATGTGTATGTATGTGTGTAGGGGGGGGTAGGGGTTGGGGGGAAAGGGAAGGGGGTTGGGGGATTGTTGTGCTACAACCGCATCGCGTTGTGGCTTTTGGGATGATGGGGTTTGCGGAACGGCGGGGATGACGTGTGTGGGTTATGTGAGCGGTGGATGAGGCGCGTACGTTAGGCGAGTATGCGTGATTGGGTGTGTATGTGTGTGTATGGGGGCGGGAAATACGCTTGGGATTTTAGATCGGCTAGGGAGAGAGGACGGGGGTATAAGACATTTGGCGAGTATTAGCTCTTGGCCAGGAGGGAGGGAGGGAGGGGGGAAAGAGGGAGAAAAGGGAGGGAGGGAGGTGGCTGAGTTTACATGTTTGAAAGCCTCTTCCGGCTGCTCGTGTCTTCCCTCCTCCGCCACCTGCCTCCCTCCCGACCCAGCCCACGGACTCTTCCCCCGGGGGCCGTTTGCGCAGTGCCGTACTGATCCGCGTCTCTATTGCTGCTACTGCTGCTCTCATGGATTATCTTACTGCTGGCTGTCGTCCTTGCCCCTCCCCCCCGCCGTGTGTGTTTTCTTCTCCCCCCCATCCCCCCACACTTCCCCCCGGCCTGAAGGTTATGGAGGTCATCCGCCGCGATGTGTCGGCGGGTGTGGGTGTGGG